GAACCATCGTCTTTGCTTCAACCTGTCGACGTATTACGCAAACATCTCTGCATATACCGTAAGTAAGCACTTATAATTAATTCGATATTTCCTAACCCCATATGCCAATTCCAATGCCGCAATACAAAAGTCATAGACAAAAATAAAGATGGCAATATAAAGTTTACTCCAAATTCTTGCCACGCAAGAAAGAAAAGAAACGGCACAAAGAACCCCATGAGTTTTGAAAATTTAACCGCCTCAAGAGTTAATTGTTCGCAGAGTGATTTTAATATAGATTTCTCTTCCTAAATTGTATCTAAGCTTTGAATATTTGTCTGCCTTACTACTTAATAATTGGTCGCAGAGACCCTTTAATGTAGATTTATCTTACTAAATCACTAAGAGAAGACCAGCAGCAGCAGAGAAGTACTGCAGTAAAACTTTTTACTTACTAAGGCGCACTCCTTAGAATGTTTTATAGTTATTTTAGAATTCCTCTTTATAATACAGTAGAACCTCGATAAGTTAAAGTCCAAGGGAAACACAAAATATCTTAAGTTGTAAGTTTTTGAGTTAAGGTTGAGGTTTGAGTTATCGAGGTTCTACTGTACTAGTATAGATTCAGTCATGAGTCAAATTAACAACGCATAAAATTCACATGTACAATCATTTATTGAACAGATGGCTCCGATATTCTTCGATTATCAACGAACAGAGCTCGGTTTAAAAAAAGTACATATGGCTCTCGACGTGTTTGAAACGTATTTACAACGCCTGGGTACTAAGTACGCCGCAGCCGACCATCTCACTATCGCTGACTTCCAGCTTATTAACTCCACAATGACTTTAGAAGCTATCGACTTCGACTTTTCTAAGTATACGAAGGTATGTTGAACGTTTAAATTTAGGATAGCTTTCGCCCGTGACTCCGTCTTCGTGGTAAAAAAAAGGAAGTAGCCTATGTGTTCAAGACTATTCTACGTCTATGCTAAATTTCATCAAGATCCGTTCAGCAATTTAGGCTATAAACTCTTATCTTACTCTTACTAATATTATAAATGCGAAAGTTTAGATGGATGGATGTCTGTTAGAGTTTGTAGCCTAAAACGGTGAACGGATTTCGATTTAATTAGTATAGATGTAGAGGATAGTCTGGAAGAACGCATAGGCTACTCACTTTCGTTTCTTTTTAATACCATGCGGACGGAGTCGCGTGCGAAATATCGTAATAAAAATAAAACAAATTTTAAGATACCATATTATATTTACAGATATACAAGTGGTACAACGATTTTAAATCTCAATATCCGGAACTTTGGAAGATATCAGAAGGTGCGATGAAAGAAATCCAATACTTCGCAGCGAATCCTCCAGACTTGACCCATCTTAACCACCCCATACATCCGATACGTAAAATTAATAAATAAAATAAATAATTTATTCTTATAATACATTGTGTAATCTATCCGGAGCCCGAGACACACCGCTTCATGTAGCCGAGACAGGCGAATGTACAGCAATCAGTGTGGAAGGTGCACTGGAAACGAAATTATAATTATTCATAGGTAATAGATATCTAGTAGTTCACAAACATGGTAAAACAACGGTATCATTGATCAATAAAAAATATTGGTCGTTTACTACTAAATAATTAAAGAAAACAAGTTTGAAGAAAGATGTCGGCGCTTAAATTTCGGGTTTGAAAAAGTGTCGCATATTAAAGATATTGTAAACTAACTATGCAATGCAACATCTTTTTAAATGTAAATGATTCATAAACACTATTTCCTTTATTCACCATTTTCTGCTCACAAAGTTAACTTGGAACTAACCTTCTGGGTCTCTTGGATTATTTCCAATAAGTCCCATTAATCTACATAGGTATTTAAAAATAAACGGTTTTATTGTACTCTAAAAGCACTTCCACAACTTTTTTTCTAGCTTAAATGATCAAGTTATTAATTTTCTTCTACAGTAAAATGCACAAAAACCCTTAAAAACCTAAATCTTCCAAAAAAGTGATTATTTTATTTGATTTAACTATGTCGATTACTGATTTTCCAAAAATACTGTAATTGCAGTACAAAACATACTCAAAACACTTCCGTTACATATCGTCGAGCTGGTTGTCATAACTAGTTATTTAAGAATTGCCAAAGTTACCTAAGATTGAACCGTCCTCTAAAAATAATAGCCAACAAATACATACAAAGTCTCCAATCTCGCCGCATTTCTTCGTCGTGCTCTCTTGAGGATCCACAGGCGGTTCCGCGGGGATACTCAGCTCGTTGCCTTCCACATCATCCTTAGGAACGGGGACATCCTTGCTTGAGAAGACGCTATCATCACTTTTACCTCTTATTAAATTTCCGGTCGCGTATTGAGCGACAAGTAACAACGCAACGGACAATAAGAACCACGAAGGAGACATGACGGGATGACCGAACGCGTAGTATTGTCGCCTGATAAAGGGTGAATGTGGACATTTAGTTTTATGATATGCTATATATACCCGTCCACGCCCGCATACACGATCAGTGAAACCTCTACCGATAAACATGCGTTACGTATGCGACAGGAGGATAATGTTTACAATATTGCTCACAATATGTCAGTAAGGCAAAGATTTTCAAAGTCTTTTTTCTAATAGTTTAGAAACTATACTTTGTAATTGCTGTTAAGAAAACACTTTTATAAAAAGCTCTCTTATGTTGTATCTCTGAAGGGAATTTAAAAATTGCGATTCAAATGAAGAGTTGATACTGTTGGATTCTAAATAGTTCTAGCATAAGTTTCTGTATCTACTTCTTACTATCCTCTCTTTCTTTGTATTTACTGGTAAGACTTAATGTACCATTTTTCTTGTAGTATGGTTAAGAAGGGAGTAGATTGAGATATGACGGCTGATAGCTGCTGTAAGAGCAGCACATACTGTGACGTCCTTCCGTAGTGACAAGGGAAACTTGATGATAACTTCATGTGCCACTTTTCGATCAAATCACCAGTTAGCATCAGGCGGACTAACAATGAAGTCCTAGAACCGTCATTTTCTTAAACAAAAATAAAACATCCTGTATGTTGATCTATTTGTTGTTCGTAAGTGTTTAAGCTTGTTTGCTTTGGAGAATTTTTCCTGCTATCTACCAAGTGCAGAAACAACACGAATACTTTTATCTGAATGGCGACTTAATAGTTTTTTTATGCATTTAGAAGTTTTTAGTTTATAAATAACATTCCATACTTAGTTATCAGAATAATTTTTTGAATTTCACTAATATAAATTACGCCTATGAATGCCAAATACCAAGGGTGCTTTCATGATCGTTAACAAATATATTGGCTACTAAACTCGAATAAATTTGACAATTGAACGTTACTAAATCTGTTTGTTTGATAAAATATTTTTGGAGGTTATTGTGAACATATATACAAATCATTTGCAATGCAATATATATAACACAGCAATGGACAGACGAAGGCTGATGATGATGATGATGATACTCTACTATCAGTAAATAACTCCAAAAACATTGCAAAAAGTAACACAAAATAGAAATGCGATATCGGCAAAATGCAACATCTAAATTTCGATTCGACCTCACGTTTAGCTTTCTCTTATAATAGTTTTGCAAACTTTAAATTACACGCACGCATAGTATATTGTATGTGTTCTTCTGTATATATTGCAAATATCCTTTCATATACGATGAATCACAAAGAACCTTTGCGGTTTTGAATTAATTTGAATCATATGAAGGATGAACACCAACATACTAATACTTAGTTTTTAAGTCAATATGAGGAGACCTACGAAAGAAATAAAGTTTTTTAATAAATTAAAAGTAATAAAACTCCATAATAATTAATTAAAACTCTTTATTTATCACTTAAAATCGAAAAGGCAGAGGATTTTTCCACAATAATGGATTTTGAGTAGAAGTTCTATCTTTGCCTCTAGATGATCCGCCGAGTAAATTCAAACCACCATTAAGGGGCACCGGCAGTGCCACTGGAACGTCCAACTTGGGCAGGTTCAGTAAACCACCAAGGAAGTCCTTACAAAACGCGCCACTGATCCTATCAGCCATGTTGCCCCACAAACCCATCTGACAGAATCTGAAATCACCAATATGATATCATTACAAAAACGAGTCTTATACGAAGAAATTAGAAAAACAAGATTCATAGCACAAGTCTTGGTCCTTAGGGACTTAACAAGAACTCGAAATTAGCCACAAACCCATTTTTAGGATACTTGTTAAAAGCAATCGCCTAATTTAAACTGATCCCCACTGCTAAACAATAGGAGTAAAGAAGTAATAGTCGTACTTACCTGAAATTCGAATCAACGGTAATCTTATCAGAGATTTTGAGGAATTGGTCATTATCTTCCGAGAATGGCATGAAACCGAACGACTTAGAATCATTCCCCGAGGTGCCCAGGTTATGGGCGAACTTGCTGATAAGACCTACAAACGACTCTCTAACACGATGGTCAGTGTCGGACACGTCCAGGCCGAGGGGATTCCCTGCCTCGTCTAGTGGCTCGAATATGTAAGCGAGCTCGTCCCCATGAGAGGGTCCCGTTTTAGGTACCTTTACTTTTGAATCGCCATCCTCTGTAAGCAAATATTGGCAAATTGATTGTTTTTGTTTCAAATAATTAAAATATATAGTCCATAATTATTAATTTATCTTCATCCACTGTTGATACGTATATAATTGTTGTTCAGACTCTAAAAACGTTAGTTTATTCAATACGGGAGTATTATAGAAATCTTGACTTCAGAGATATCTCCAATATAGTACGTTTTTTTCAATTACAGTTCCGTTCCAGACTTCTTTTTATCTCTACTATCTAATATTATAAAAAGAAAAGATTTGATTGATTGCATTGAAGAAGCTCAGAAACTACTAAACTGATTTCAAAAATTCTTTCACTGTCGTAAAGCTACACTATCTCCGGGTGACGTAGGTTATAAGAAATAGACCAAACAAATACTTACGTGTTAGTGCGATACCAGGCAGGAAGTGGTTGCCCTTACTGAGGTTGCCTACGTGTTCGAAGCTATAGAGGAAGGCGGGGCTGGCCGCACCCCATGCGCGTACCGTTTGGTATGCCGGGAAGTTGAAAAGAGCATCACCTGAATTTTTGAACGATTATTATGATTATTATGATAAAACTGGCAAGTATGTTTTAGACATTAAAACATACTTGCCAGTTTTAATCTAGGTCTTCTAGAAGTACTATATAAAGATCATCTTAAATAATTAGGTTAAGTACTTCGCTATTAAGTCTTTAGAATCATCAGAATTAAAATAATTTTGGTGTAAGATTTTTATTAACAAAGAAAACCTTCAAATTTAAACTAAATAGAAGATATGTTCAACAATTGTTCGATAACATGACCCAGGTAAAGTCGCAATTCAAACTTGTATACATAATAATAGTTATTTTAATTGTAAAAAAGTGAAAGCGAGCTCTTCCCAGGGGATACTCCCCTTTTTATATTCATGACGCAGGTAGAAACTGCGTAAAAAATTAAGCCCCTTTGTCAGTTGAAGAGGGGTTCGTAGACAACTGTAATAATATTATTAGGGTTGGCCGGCAGCTGCGGTATGAGCACTTATAGTCACTCTTCTTTTTAAGCAATTTTATGATATTGAACATGAAAAAAATGGAATCATTACTACAACGTTTGAAAACTTCAAAAATACTAATTATATTTTTATCCACTGAAATCAAACCAATGCTACCTATACGTAATTATTTACAATATAATGAAAGCCGCAACCAGCTTCTAAAATACACCAAGTTTTTTACTGTTTTAATAAAAACATGAGTGTTATTCATCCAATTTGATACATACTTGTAGCGTCTACTATTTGTGACAGGCCATCGACAGCCTTTGAGGTGCTGTCAAATAACGCTTGGTAGTAGTCTGGTAAAGGTATCAAGGTGTCCACGCCCAACGCCTTCAGAGGGATCAGTCCTTCAACGCCCTGCACCACGTCACGCAGACCACCAATCAGTTCCTTCTTTATGAAGTCTTGAACTTCACCCAACTTGCCGGTTAAGAATGTAGAAAATTTGCCTAGAAAAATACATTTCAAATCTCCAAAACTTATTATAAGATAGGAATTTTTAGATTAACTAATAATTAAAGAATTTTTTTATTAAATGCTTTAAGATAATCATTTCATCTTATGCTTTGAAAGAAAAGATGATGAAGGAAGGTAGACAATCTTTTTCATGAGTGAGTTAACTGAGTTAAGGTATGTTTTCTATGTGCTGTCGTATGAAGTTTCAAATATTCTTCAGAAGCAGCTTTAAGTAGCCAGCGTGTTGCCAGGAAGCTACGACAGCAAAGTACAGTATATTTCAAGCTGCCGTTGCCGAATGCAGCAGACCAGGTATCCCTTACCGAACACCGCTTTGGAGGTTTCCGCGGAGACGACACCTGTGAGGAGCGGGCCGTGCTGGCGGCGGCGTTGCAGCGACTGCGCGGGTTGCTCCGACACGAGCGGCGGGAGCCCACGCCTGTCGTCTTCTTCCTCAACACGTGCCCCAGATCCTGTTTGAAACAATCTGTTACTTATAAACTTTACTCGCAAATTACAGGTGTGAAGAAGAAATAATAGTTCCTCAAGTGGTTCATCACTTAAATAAACTCACTTAGGTACTCACTGGGGTAGGCCCCAGAGACCAGTTATCTATATTCAAACCATATTCCCGATAACCTACCTGATCTCCCAGATATCTCATCAAGAAACCTCTTCGTGTCAACCATGTCTATATCCATTTCACTATCCGCCTGAAACAAGTAACACATACGATCAAAAACAGAAAGTAAGCCATTACGTACTTAGTAAATGCTGCAAAATCATAATGTTGTAACTCAGTCATAAATAACTTACTAATATGATCTTTTCTACTGGAATCTTTCTTAGACAATTCATCAGTCTTTCTGCAGGCTTGTGTGGACATCCAGTTCTCTCTGCTAGTTCCTTAGCGTGAGCATCCGGATCGCTCCTGACTGCTCCAGGGGAGAGAGGAGTGCCGGACATGGCGGCCACGCCTGCAGCGCTACGCCCCTCCGGCGATAGGCCCATGATCGACGCAGCACTAGCGCCGGATCCTTGGCCCATTATAACTATGCGGTTCTTATCGCCGCCGAAGAATTCAATGTATTCTTGTGTCTGTGTATAATAGAAAATTATGAAAGCAAACACAACTCGTATGCAATGATAGGATGTATTTATTTGCCACATCTGAACACTTACCCATGAAAGAGCAGCTCTCAGATCGAATAGTCCGGCATTGCCAGGTGCATCTCTTTGTCCGGTGCTCAAATAACCTAGAGACCCAAGCCGGTATTGCACTGTTACTAGAATTGTGTCCTTCTGGGCTAGATGTTGACCCTAAAACACACAGATGGTCCGTAAAAATTAAAATTTTGTCTATGACTCTCTCCTTTAAAAATATTAAAAAAAAATTGTTTCTACCCCGTATGGAACTATTGATCCACTTCGATAATTTCCTCCGTGTACGAAAAATACTACAGGACAACCTGTGAAAAAATAATAGCAAAATTGTAAAACAACACATTGTTTCGTTGGACATTATTTGTCTATGCAAGGATTAATTTCCGAATGAAATAACTTGATTAAAAAAAAAATATTTAAAAAATCGTTAACCAACCAATTTAAGAAGGCTCGGAATGTAGCTAATTAAATGCTAAAAAATGCTTAATCTATAAAAACGGTATACTGATGTAATTTCTACAACCTTCTTCCTCTCCAGGCATTTTTGGTGCGTATATGTTGAGACATAAACAGTCTTCATGGCCGACTGACTTCCTCTGGTTCCACGGGTCCAGTTGTGGGCACGGTGCACATTGCGTCATTGCCGATAGTTCGCCGCTAAGGAAACGTCGAATGGGCCTCTGGAATCTTCTATTGCCAACTGGTGGTTCGGCATATCTACGTGAAACGGCAAAGTACACATTATTCCCTTAATATAAGCTGGGAGATATAGTCACTGTTAACAATTTGCTTAATCTATCTTACTAATATTATAAATGCTAAATTTAGATGGACGGATGGATGGATGTTTGTTAGAGTTTGTAGCGGAAACTGCTGTACATATCTCAATATTTACAGCATTTATATTTTTTTCTTATTCCACGCGGAAGGTGTTGCGGGAGAAAGTTAGTTTTAAATAAATCAAAACCAAATCTTGGTTAAGTTATGTACTTGGTTAATCACATGTCGAGTCGGTGCCGGAAATTTTTATCAATACTTCCGTTGTAATTTGTAACTTGCACAGATAAAATATAACGATTTAATTTAAACATTGGAATGTTAATAGTTAACATAATAACAGAATGGAATAAAAATTGTTAAGATTTAACTACAAATTATCTTTATGTAGATAGAAATGATTGATTTGACTACTTTTGTTTTAACAAAAACAGCTACCCACTAATGATCTAAAAGCTAAAAATCGAGTCCTACAAATAAGATTTACGATTCAAATGTAAAATAAATAAAACAACACCAAAGTGTGCTTTTTACTCTTAATGCTAGTAGAATGCAAACAAAGGTGACTTATGGGCAACAGTCCGTAAGATTGGGCGACCTCCCAGGGCGCTAGACGGAAAGAAACTCCACGGATTTGCGAACATAATCTAACGTAATCCCGGTCACCCCTCAAATGAAAAGTAAGAGGTCGTCATGGAAACCTCGCCTAGGACGCTGGTAACGGTAAATCCACTACATGACTTAATATTTTCACAATTTCATCGCATCAATACATACCTGATACCTAAAAAAGTGTAATATCCACGTACATCGTTCTTGAAACCCTCAAGTCGGGCGCTTCGGCCGTGTTTTTGGACGAAAACCACGGCAGAATCAGGCTCAGGTGGCAAGGCGGGATCTCCGCCGACCACCGCGGTGGCGGGCGTGCTTACCACCGCCAACATACCAACGACCACCCACAAACGTAGAGCAGACATCACTAAACATACCCATATCCTGTGTTAACGCTCGAGCCAGCTTCCCGTGATATCTCTAATCTCTCCCACTGAATTCATAATTCTACCTAATATGCCTAAAATTTTTATTCGCGTGTAGTGTGTATTTATTGTTAAGCAGACCTTTAGTGCAGTTTTCTAGAACAAATTATCAATGAGGGACGCCTTTAAACCATAAAGAATCATCAAAGTCCCTTACTCTTTCCGTGAATGTGAAAAGTTACCGAATTTTGACAAAACATTATAAGAACTAGGCTACAATGCTGTTAAGATTGGATATTGAGATATTTCTTAACAAAAAATTTATGCGTCGTCCCAGAAATGCGTCCAGAAATTATGGGTTCTGCTTATTTCCTAGACAGTTCAGTTAAACCCTCATACTCGCGGGCGTTTTTTTATCGCTTGGCTATATGCTTTTTGCTTATGACAGAGCGTGCTGGCGGCGTACTGTGGACGCCCTCTGCCCCACTTTGGGGACATAGGAATAGAAGAGAAGAGAGAGAGATATGCTTTTTAATTCTCTCGTTTATACGAATGTTTAAAAATCACTCTTGTTTCATTTGTCCAGCGCTCAAATTGCATTTTACACGAACACGAGTACGGGACAAGTGTGAACTGCGAATAGCGTGTGCCAGTCGAAGGACAGTCCAGTCATTTTTGGCCACGCCTTTGCCAGCGACCGATTTTACTGACTACTTTTAATAACACATTACTATTTTTTACTTGACTGGAATAGCAAATATAACTGGCGCCGGTGAGTCTATACAATCTATAACTAGCCGTCTTAAGTGTTCAACTGTACAGGCCAAGTCTGAACCACGCGTATTGCAAGATTTTACTAATTGAGTATGACTTAAGAGTAAATCAAATAAAAGTAATCATAATAACGATTGCTTCATTACTTTTCATTATACAAAATCACTGATTTTTGTTTTTTTAAATACTTTTGAAATTAATTCCAACTAGTTACCACAAAAACATAGGAAAGCTCAAAAACTGACAACACTGGAATTTTGCCAAAACTATTTAATTTTTAACCTAAAATGTAAGAGAATAAAGTGCAGTTTACTTTAACTCGACAAAGTTATTGATCCAAGTTTTCTGTCTCTCTCTAAAAGCGGTGGAAGTGTGTCGAGATATTTAATATATTAATTTTAATTTTTGTTCTATGCGTTTTTATGAAAAAATGTATTGAGTTCCAAAAACTTAAAAAAAGTAATCGAATCATCTTAAGAAAGGTTTTGTACAAAACCGTTTCGTCGTGATTTATTCATATTTTTATGGGAAAATTAATTTAAATTACCTCGTTGACATCATATTCTAAATTAAATACTTTTATTACAGTTATACAATTAAATTACATAGTTACTTAACGGACTATTTGAAAATGTTTAAGAAAAAATATTAAAATAATATTGAAATGTTTCGACACAGCGTACGTCGTACCCTTGTGACGTAACGTGGTCCTTTCGTTTATTTTGATAAATAAGCACATTTTTCCCTACTGCTTTATTAAATATGGTGTGGAACTGTTTTCTAAGGTATTTTGTGTTTAAATAAATTAATATTTCTTCATATTTTATTGACAAAAAATAAAAAACGTTATGGGGAAATTTTAAGGATAATATCAACACTGTGACGACACACGATACGTCGCGTTTGCGTCATCATACCGTGAACAGCGCTCAAACGGGGAGGACGTGGCGTGGATTGATTAGAAACATAGCTTATTTTTTTCTTTTAAATGTTTCTAATGTTGGAATTATAAAGTACAAAGCTTAGGATAGGTACGTTTTTCGCATTTGATCTTCCTTTTTACCGATTTATCTGGCGTTTTTGTTCAAGCTAATTATTTTTATTGCGTTGTTACAGGTTTTCAAAGAAGTCGCCGCCATCATGGCGTCGTCCGACGAACAATTTTCACTATGCTGGAACAATTTCCATGCGAATATGTCAGCAGGCTTTCATGGCCTGCTGTCACGTGGAGATTTAGTGGATGTAACCTTGGCTGCCGAAGGCAGAATTTTACAAGCACACAAATTAGTTTTATCCGTATGTTCTCCCTACTTTCAAGAAATGTTTAAAATGAATCCAAACCAGCATCCGATAGGTATGTGAACATTTTTTCATAATTTTCTTATCATTATTTAAAATTTAACAAAATGTTAATTGTGTAATTTTTTTTTCCAGTATTTTTAAAAGATGTTAGTCATTCAGCGCTAAGAGACTTATTACAGTTTATGTATCAAGGTGAAGTTAATGTTAAGCAAGAAGAATTAGCGTCGTTTATTAGTACCGCGGAACAACTTCAAGTTAAAGGTTTAACCGGTAACCAAAATGAAGAAAGTTCCACGCCATCCAAACCAAAGCCGACCTCGAGGCCAGGCCCGAGATCGTCACAACAACGGATATCTGCTAAGTTAGAGACTGATTTAGATTCTAAGCCCTCCTTAACTCCAGTAGCAATTAAGAGACCAAATAGGCCATCAATAGCATCAAATAATTCGTCATCTTCTCAAAGTGGACCCGCGAAACGGAAATGTGTTGACCCATTAGAAGCCGGACCCTCTGGTTCTGCTAAAGATGAGTTTGTTACGATACCGGACGAAGATGAAAACAACGCTGTGGCACCCAAAATGGAACCTGAATTTGTTAACGAAAGCATGTGGGATGATGACGATGAAGGCGCTAACAATGACGAAACGAACTTCGGCGAAGATGACTCTAATATGGAAATGTCTGGTAAGATTTATACCGAGACTTTAAATCGATCGTTTACTTCGTTATTCTAATATAAGGCTATTTTCAGGATTTGATGGTTCTGCAACTGGTGATGGCAATATATCTGGAGGTGGGGAGGGTGGAGCTGTTGGGGATGCACAAGGTAGGTTTGCAAATTTGATCGTTGGTCAGTTTCTATCTATGAGTAGGGAGAAACTGGCCACATAGTTAAGGTGTGTTGAATCAAAGCTGGATATTCATGTTTTTAAAAGTAAATTTTCTCAAATCTAGCTTTAATTTTTCACATCAATTATAGTTTAGTAATGAAATTTGTAAGCTTAGTTTTAGGTAGTTTTTAGTTTGGTTAGTAATTTTTTTTAAATGTTCCAGGGTTAAATATCCTGTTTTAAAAGGTTATGTTTATTATGTAAACATAACCTTTTAAATTGAAATTCTTTGGTAATATTTGGTAAAGGTAAAAAAGGTAATGGTCAAGGTATAAAAAGGTAAATTGCGAGAAGGTAAAAGTTACGGATATGTATAATTAAGCATTGATCCGTTAATATGGTATAGGTAAATTGTTCTGAACTTCTCCAAGGTAAATGGTATGGTTCGAGACATGTGCGGTGGTCAAAAATCTGTAGGTAAATGATTGGTAAGTAAAGAAAATGTGACAAAAAAACTGGGTTTCTACAAAACCTAGCTTTGGGCGTAAACTTCCAAATCTTATTCAGAGTGATCTGAAAGTTTACATTCAACAAAATTAGTTTACGTTATGCTAGTATAATGGGCTAAATGGCGTAAAGTTACTAGGTGATCAGCCTACGGATTACCCATTATACTAGCAAAGTTAAACTATGTAATTTGAATCTTTGGGAACTAGTAAGTTCCAGACGAGGTCTAATCCCTAAACTATTCTAACAAGGATGTCTGCCCTGATAAGGTGTGACGTTTTGATTGCTGCGGCACACAAATGGTTGCGGGCGCTAGTGTGCTTCCAAAGTTTTTCTTGTTATACTTACCGGTTCAGATATCCTTGTGCGAGTTCAATATACAGTACATCAAATAGTGCCAAGGCATGAATTGATGTAAAATTGGAAACTTTTACATCGATTCATCGTAGAGCTCCACGCATTGATCGGATCGAACTGATTCATAATCTAATCGAGTAGATCTATGGGTGGTTTACTGTCATTTACAACAATTGCACGGTAATGTAGTTTTCTTAGTTGACCCTAATTCGCTATCAAATTATTCGTTACACTGCAATGTGGTATGGTATCAATATCTTATGGTACATCCGCCATTTTGACTCTACCAAGAAGTCACTGGAAAATTAGATTTTTTTTTAATGGTGCTCGTCAATTTAAAACATTGCGTGCATGAAGTAATTTATAATGGGCAAGAAAATTTTAGTTTTAATAAAATCTATATATCTCCGATTCCTAAGTTATTATAACAACTTTATGAATCTTGACTAACTTCGACAAGTTCAGTTATCAAAGCCGTTTACTTACATGAGATCTCAATTATCTTTGTTTTTGGTAAGTAATAACGCTGTTCAAGATTTGCAAGGTAAAAACTTTTTTTTTTATTTCAACATTTTTATCATAGAAATACGAAAGATATTAATAAATGTTCTTAAAAAAAACTTTTGTATCAATTGCATTCCTACCTACAATTAATTAATTAGCCGAGCAAAGTTCGAAATTGCAGCAGAGTTTCTACAGTAAAAAAAATCTTATGAAAACTTTACTCATTAGTTTAAGAAAGTCAAATATTGACATGCTAAGAATCTTCAAGAGGAAGACCCAGGTTGTTAGCTCATAACACAGGTGCTAAGTTAGGACTTCAATGGGAACAAATTAAATAAAACTTTTGATATTCTTAAGTAACGCTCTAAAGAGGGAAACCAAAAACTAAATATTTTAAACCAGTAATAAGAAATTTGATGTCGAAGTATTTCAAACTAATTAGAGCATATGCAACTGCTTAAAGATAAAGGCACATTAAAAATTATACTAAATAATACATTGCATAAAACAAAGTTACTAGGTTCGATTTCCAGTAGCAACTTAATGGCGTAGTTCAAGTAACAATTGGTGTTTCCTATATCCAAACGCCATACACTTAAATTAGTACTACTTAGAAGTAAATACTTGATTTATCACACGAGTCAAGTCAGTCTGGGAAGCTGCGTAAGTGCAAACTTATAAAAAGTTCAGACGTCATCAATAGATGGCGTTAGTAGTTCAAAATTATGCAACGTTGAACAT